GCCAAAAGCAACAGTTCTGCAGGACTTTCGGATTATAATGATTCCAAAAGTCAGAGGAGAACCAGCACCTGGTCCTGGTCCTGGTCCGGACCAGCACCTGGTCCCGGTCTGGACCAGCAGTCCAAAGACGCAGCTGCTGGGTTAGCCTAGCACTGCTAACGGTTAGACTAGCAGTGCTAACGATCAGCCTAGCGCTGCTAACGTTTAGCCTAGCGCTGCTAACGATCAGCCTAGCGCTGCTAACGATCAGCCTAGCGCTGCTAACGATCAGCCTAGCACTGCTAACGGTTAGCCCAGCAGTGCTAACGATCAGCCTAGCACTGCTAACGATCAGCCTAGCGCTGCTAACGATCAGCCTAGCGCTGCTAACGGTCAGCCTAGCGCTGCTAACGATCAGCCTAGCACTGCTAACGGTCAGCCTAGCTCTGCTAACGGTCAGCCTAGCTCTGCTAACGGTCAGCCTAGCGCCGCTAACGGTCAGCCGTGTGTCAAGTTCCAAATTCAGTTGGAGCAGTTTGTTTTTGTTTTTTGTTTTTTTTCCCGCGTTAGCTTCGACCTCACCTGGTGGCCACCCGAGGGAGGTGCGCACCACAGATTGAGAACCGACTGTGAACTGACCCTAGCCTTTTCTCTCTGTCTGTCTCTGTCTGTCTGTGTGTCTGTGGTCACTCCCGGTGCAGCCGCAGTCCACCCCGGTGGTCAGTGGACTGATTGAGACGGTGGACCGGGTGATGGAGCACATGGTGACCAACCTGGAGCCTGGACCTCAGTCCCTCATGACTCTGGACGGAACCTCCTTTGTCGCAGGTGAGTCCAGGAGCCGAGTCCAGGAGCCGAGTCCAGGACTGGACCGGGTTCTGAGGACTAGTGACCGCTAGTTAATGGTTCTGTGTTCTGATCCGCAGATTATTCTCTGATGAAACTCCCGCAGAACTACAACCTGCAACATTATCGCTTCCCACCAGAGGGCAAGAGTTACATCTCTGTACCAGGAGAGGCCTTCACCACGCTGAGTGAGTACCAGGACTGGCCTAGCTAACGTTAGCTCTGGGGTCTGTACCGGGACTGTTGTAGCTAACGTTAGCTCCGGTGGCCGGACCAGGACTGTGGTAGCTAACGTTAGCTCTGGGGTCTGTACCAGGGCTGTCGTAGCTAACGTTAGCCCTGGTGTCTGTACCAGGACCGTCGGAGCTAACGTTAGCTAGTACAGTCCTGGTACAGACCCCGGAGCTAACGTTAGCTCCGACAGTCCGGGTACAGACACCAGAGCCAACGTTAGCTACGACGGTCCCGGTACAGACACCGGAGCTAACGTTAGCTCCGACGGTCCTGGTACAGACACCGGAGCTAACGTTAGCTCCGACAGTCCGGGTACAGACACCAGAGCCAACGTTAGCTACGACGGTCCCGGTACAGACACCACAGCTAACGCTAGCTACGCCAGTCCTGGGACAGACACCAGAGCTCACGTTAGCTACGACACTCCCGGTACAGACACCACAGCTAACGCTAGCTACGACAGTCCCGTTTGTTTTTTTTTTGCTAACGTTAGCTACAACAGTCCTGGTACAGACCCCGGAGCTAACGTTAGCTCCGACGGTCCTGGTACAGACACCAGGGCGAACGGTAGCCACGACAGTCCTGGTACAGACCCCGGAGCTAACGTTAGCTCTGGTGTCTGTACCCGGACTGTCGGAGCTAACGTTAGCTAGTACAGTCCTGGTACAGACCCCAGAGCTACCGTTCGCTCCGACAGTCCCGGTACGGACACCAGAGCTACCGTTAGCTACGACAGCCCTGGTACAGACACCACAGCTAACGCTAGCTACGCCAGTCCTGGTACAGACCCCAGAGCTAACGTTAGCCACGACACTCCCGGTACAGACACCGGAGCTAACGTTAGCTCTGGGGTCTGTACCGGGACTGTTGTAGCTAACGTTAGCAAAAAAAAAACAAACGGGACTGTCGTAGCTCGCGTTAGCTCTGGTGTCCGTACCGGGACTGTCGGAGCGAACGGTAGCTCTGGGGTCTGTACCAGGACTGGCGTAGCTAGCGTTAGCTCTGGTGTCAGTACCGGGACTGTCGTAGCTCGCGTTAGCTCTGGTGTCCGTACCAGGACTGTCGTGGCTACCGTTAGCTCTGGTGTCCGTACCAGGACTGTCGTGGCTACCGTTCGCCCTGGTGTCTGTACCAGGCCTGTCGTAGCTAACGGTAGCTCTGGGGTCTGTACCGGGACTGTCGTAGCCAACGTTAGCTCTGGTGTCAGTACCGGGACTGTTGTAGCTAACGTTAGCCCTGGTGTCTGTACCAGGGCTGTCGTAGCTAACGATAGCTCTGGTGTCTGTCCCGGGCCTGTCGTAGCTAACGGTAGCTCTGGGGTCTGTACCAGGACTGGCGTAGCTAGCGTTAGCTCTGGTGTCCGTACCAGGACTGTCGTAGCTCGCGTTAGCTCTGGTGTCTGGACCAGGACTGTTGTAGCTAACGTTAGCTCTGGTATCAGTAACATCTGTGAACATTAGTTTAGCCTCTGGAGGAACGAGAACATTAAGGATTTCCGCCAATTTTCTTTCTGGTAAATCAGATTATAATCAGATTAGAAGTTTCCCCTCCTGCGGCCGTGACATCACAGAGAACTTCTAGAACTCTCCTCGGGCGCTGTCACGTCCGTGCTAGCGCCCCGTCCTCCCATTAGCCCCTCAGTGTGAGGGTGCAGCGGCAGGAGGCTGTAAATGAGCTTTTCCTCTTTTGGAACATTTTAGCGGAACGTCGTCACATTCCTGGTCCTCCATCGTGTTCTCACGTTAACCTGTGACTTTGTTCTTCTTCTTCTTCTTCTTCTTCTTCCTCTTCTTCTTCTTCTTCTTCTTCTTCTTC